CTCGGCTAGGCTCCAAGAGGCCCAAATCACAACAGACCGGAAAGTCTTATTTGAAAGTGGAAAGCCTATTGATCTCAAGCTATCTTGATACCCGCGGAGACGCCAATCGTGATGTCCACATGACATTCGTTCTGACTTTCATTCTGACAGTCTTGCTGAACACTCTATGACTTCTTAATTGAAATGTAGGTAGGAAGGCAACTGTTTTCTTTTTGGTTTGTTAAGTTTTCCTTTTAGTTTTAGTCGTGGGGCGAGCCATGGAAATCAATATACAAATCAAGAATGTGAAGAAGCCTGAAGACATTGTCAATGCTTTCGCTCTGCCCTGGGGCAGAACAGCAGACGTCCACTCCGCCGAGGAAGAAGAGAAGATCGGGCCTCTGCAGCAGCAACTACTGCAGCTACGCGAAGATCGCCAAGGTTGATTCTGACAGCTCAAGACTCGAGGCACTGCAGCAATCTCACCCCCAAGGAGCACAAAACCTCCTCCCCTCCACGGATGCGGAGGCCAGCGCCAGTGGCAGTGGAGCCAGAGCAAAGATGAGGGCGCAGCCTTTTTCTGCATTTCAGCGACCTCGGCGCCCACATGAAGGGCGCACCCTTTCCCCAGGACCCTACTATCGTCGAGGTGATCAGCCTGGAGCAGCAGATGCAGGTATTATTCCCAAACCCACAATGACGCAGGCCCTCATGGATCAAACAATGCCACCTCCAGCTCGGCCACTGCTTGTTCGACGAAGGCAATCTCAGACATCACCCAGGAGATCTTCGTCCAGAACACCACCAACCAGAGCACAAGCATCCAGAGCACAATCGCCCAGAGCACGATCTTCCAGAGCANNNGCACAATCTTCCAGGGCACAATCCCCCAGGGCGGCCAGGGCAGCTCATTCCTAGACCAAGGACCAGTAGAAGAGACTCGAGGTCATCTACACCGAGGCGCCCGGGATCAAGGTCACGTGGAAGGCTCGACTCCAAATCGCCTGCAGCACGACGGCGATCCCGCACACCCCCGGCAACGGCAGCCAAGGCTAAGTCGGCGCCACCGTCTTCGTCATCTTCTACGCCACCACGACCGGCCACTACAGCGAAGGACATTTACAGCATCCCAGCAACGCCGTCCACCTTCAAGTTTCCCAAATTCATCTCCAAGTACGCGGTGGACTGGGACTCCTTCGAGGTCGCGGCCTTCCCGGTGCAAGATGACATGAAACGGTATGTGGAAGCACTCTGCGCGAGTGCCAAGTTCCGCATCTCTGGGGGCGTCTTGCTTGAGCACGACCTGACATGGGACAGGGGCGGCGAAGCAACGCCGGAAACAATGCGCAGGTTCTACTACCTGGCGGCTTCGGACCTGGCGCTCAAGGACCCGCCGCTTCCTACAAAGTCAGAACGTATTTTATTCTGGTGCCATGGTACCGATGTGGGGCTTTGTGGAATATGTTGCGCAGCAGGACATGCTCCCCATGAATGCCCACGGAGTCTCCCAATTCAATTGCAACATCTTCTATGCGCTGGCGCACGACATCTGCGGGGGTGAAACGGACGAGTACAACATTGCCCGGGTATGATACAATACCAATAAAAGCGCCAAAAACATGGCAGCGATCATCGTTGGCGGAAAGGCTTGGGGATCATTGAGAAAAGTCAGAGTCTACGGAGGGTCGTTTGAGACTGCGCACGTGGCAACGCAAGAGGATCAGGTCCTCAAGGACAGCAACGCCAAAGCATTTTGCGTGAGTCGCAACCGCTACAGCTTCAACTACATCGCCTTCGAGCAGCTTGCGCAGCCACCCTCCACACCCAGAAGCCTCATCAACCAGCACCTCCGAGCAGCGAACATTCAGCCAGGAGGACGGCAAGTTCTGTTTTGACAGACACCGTATATACACGCAGCTACGCTATCTGCAGCGACATCCTTTTCTGCATCCTTCAATGCATCTTTTTCTGCATCCTTTTCCACCTCTTCTTGCAGTAGCAGCGCCGGTGGACTCAAAATGCGGGCACGATTGCAAGCATCAGTGTCCGTGCAGTTGCAGTTTCTTTACTTTTTGCTTGTTTTCTGTTAGCTTATGCTGTTTAAGATTCAGATAGCATAAGCCACAGCATCCGCGCAACATGGCCTCGCAGTGGAATGAGCCGTGGGCACCCAGCTCTTGGGCGGCAAGTTCGTGGTGGCAGAACCCACAGACCCCCCACACGGCACCGACATGGACTATGCCACCGCTGCCGCCTACAGCGCCACAGCCAGCAGCAAGCCTCCCACCAGCTCCTTGGCCGCCAGCGCCTCCTTCACGCAGCAATCCCCCAGAGCAACCAGCCGATCCTCGCCCAGCTCGTGTGCCAGTTCCCGCAGCTTTCAAGGAGGATGGGGAGCACTACGATGCCAACTTGGTCTTCAAGTCCACCCTCAGGAAAACCGTCGAGCCCTCCGCATGGAGCCGAGCCAAAGGACTTGCAGGCATGGACATTCGCGATGTCACAGTTGCTCATCTCAGCAGACGAGGTTTGGAAGAATATGGACTTCGCCCCCTCTCTCACGGGCGATTTACAGGAATTATTCTTACCCGCAACGTCGCCGAGACCGTCCTCCTCTCGCAAATACAAAAGAGGCTCCACGAAGACAACATTGACGTCGATGCCACCATCGAGGCCATCTACAAGTCCAAAAACCTCAAACTGCCAGACAAAGTGAAGGAAGCTACCAACTTTGTCACACCCTTGGCGGAGGAGATCTTCTTGGCTATGAAGCCGTGAACACAGGTCAAGAACTGCGTGAAGAACTCCGAGCAAGACAACCAGGTCGCGCTACGCATGCAAGAGCTCGAGGAGGAAGCCGCCAAGTACAAGCCGCGGCTTAAGTCAGCTGGGATGGAAGTTACACCAAGGCTCTCCCGCTGCAGCCCCCACCTTCGGCGCCGAGCGACTCTCAGCAGACACCGTCGCCACCACACCAGGTACTACCTCCAGGACCTCCGCCCGACAGCGCTCAAGAAGATCCTCCCCTCAAGCGACGTCGTGCTCAGCGCGGAGACAAGAAGAAGCAGTACGAACAATTGCTCGAGGAGCCCTACAACGTCATCAAGCAGGGTGGACAGCAGCCCCCAACGAGCATGACCTCCATCAAAACCTGGGTCATCAACCTCAAGAAGACCATGCCAGCCGACAAGCGCAAGGAGCTGGACCAGCATATCCAGCAAGTCCACAACTTGCTCGAAGAGGGCAAGTACACCAAGGTGCAACTCCAGGAGATGGCCACACGGTGGGGACTGCCAATCTCGCTTATTACGGCAGCAGCGGCCTCTCCCAGAACCCTACAGCAGCTCATTGC